ATATAACTGATTCGAATCAGCCTATCTCTGAATTAGCCGTGGCCTGACCAGTGACGGATCCAGCTATGGGGTGCAGGGGGTGCGTACCCCTCCCCACGAGACAAGCTGACATTTTAAGAATTGTTGCATATTAATCTTAATCGATCCTTTGCTCTACACTTATATTTTTTATATTTTTATTTGTAACTGCTATACAAAATACGCTGTATCTTATCGTGAATTATTTCGATTTAATATCACATATTAAAATGCTGCTTTATCACATATTAAAATCCTGGATCCGCCCAAAAATCATATTACATACAAAGGTTGTTTACCTCGATTATTATGATCATTCAGTTTGTGAGGGCCTCTATATAACATAGGGATAACCCAGAGGAGAATCCAGGGCTATCCCAATTGCCTTTGCGTCCTCATTGTTTTTCTTTGGTTTTAACCGGTCAGTTTATGTGCAGCTTTCATGCGTTTTTATAATTATACTTCTACGAGTAATAATACTGATACTGAGGTATTGCTTTAGCATTTCTTGAAGACATGTTTTCGATAAATTGGCAAATAGAAGCACCCAGTTATCTGTACCACGTACCTTCAATCTGAAAGAACTCCAAAGTACTCCAGTGTTTTGACAYTGAGTATCTCTAAATGTCTTGAAAAATTTAGAAAATGATATAACGCTAARGTAACCCTGGAACTTCCTCTGGGGATATGACCTATAGCCTTTACATTTTTCTCGTAGCGCACGGACCCGGGTTACCCTAGTGGTAGGGTCGGCCCTGTCTGTTTGATTTTGAATTAGTAAACCGTTATAAAATACAATTTAAGTCAAAATTCCTTTTTCAAAATCCTCTTTCTTCAATTTAAAACATTCTTCTCCATGCATAACACAAGAAAACTGGAAAATGAAGCAGCTAGTGATATGATATATTAATTATACATTGCAGGGACCGCGGATACGGGAGCTGGAGGCCGGGCTATAGACCCCCAGCTTTTTCCCTTTTCACATACTAGTTTCTTATATTTTCCAATCTTAGCTCCCTAATTTTGAGGGTGGCCAGCGTATCGATGATATAGTGCTATGGTTTTTCAACAATTAAATATATAATCTTCCTATGGTTTTTTTTTTTTTACTGAAAGACGTATAACCAAACACTATTTACTCTGATATTTATCCATTTTTTTCTTTACACACGTCTGAAGAGTATTCCTTTTGTTCTGACCAGTATATAATGTAAAACTGACTTTGTAAGATATATATATATATATATACCTGTCTAGCAAGTGCAGTAAGCAATGATCCTGGGAAAGAGCTCTGCAATGTTTATCACCAGTATATTTAAAACTAATTGAGGGTTTATAGTTAGATAAAGAGTTAATCTCTAACAATAGAGCAATGTATACAGTCAATTCAAAAAATGTTGTCGTCGACCAACTTAAGTCTACGCGACTGGACCGAAAGGAACTCTGGGTAGCAATCATTGAAGCCGAGTTGACTCCATAATTTTATCCGACTAGTTATGCCTTGTTTACAGCACGAACCTTCGTAGGCGAGCGGGAAGTGTTGAAGGAGACTTTTTTTAATGCCTTCATATTTTTCAAAATTGTAAACTGAATCATAACTACTTTGTTTTTCTTTCCCTAAACCCAAAGACATGCATTTGATGGATTGTTTCTCGCCAATATTATCCCTATTACTAGCGGGAACAATTAATTCAGAACGAATATTTAACCGCTTCAGTGATTTTTACCCATATTCCTTTCGGTCCAGTCGCGTAGGCTTGAGCCGGTCGACGACAACGTTTTTTGAATTGACTGTATTACTCCTTACACTTTCTCCGACCAAGGACTAACGTTCGAAACGTCAGTTTCACAAAGCTTTTTACGGTGATCCAATTTATCCACAAGTTTCTACTGTTTTATTCAGAAACACCGACGCAGTCCACGCTAGTTCTACTAGTTATCACCACTAGCAATGTACATGTATTAGCTGTTGAACATCTTAGAGTAATGATACTTTACATTATGACAAGAGAAAATGAACTAAGAGAAGGAATCCCCGTGCCCCATCATGTGCACACTTTGATGCTATTTTTAGAATCATTGATGCTATTTTTAGCTCGTTACCATGCCGCGCGATAATCATGCTTCCCTTTAATGCCTCGTTTTAGGACACGAAAAGCGACAAAAACACAGGCTTTTGTTTACTGCAAGACTAGAAGTTGCCTACCCTCAAGAAATCAACCAATCAGGTTCTTCGCTAAAAAATCTCCAAGCTAAAAATAGCATCAAACTGTGCACATGATGGTTACAAGGCTATATAGGTAGGATTCCTTCTCTTAGTTCATATTCTCTTGATTTTGATCCATGTAAATGCCTCTTTTGGTTTCAATAAAAAACATGCATGGCAGCTATCACTATTAGAATCCCTCATCAAGAGAGCGAGGGAAAAAATGTAATCAAGGATTTTAAAGTAATTTGGGGTGTAATTATTTTAGGTTACCGTTATATTCATAGTTGTAGATGTATTACCCTTAAATGTAATAACACCCATAAATGTAATACCCACCATAAATGTAATAAAAATCAACCATAAATGTAATAATAACCATAAATGTAATACCCACCATAAATGTAATAAAAATCTTCCATAAATGTAATAACACCCATAAATGTAATACCCACCATAAATGTAATAAAAAT